CGAACGCCGCGTTATCGATAATTACGTGACATTTATTATTAATAATAGATATGCAACAATAGAATTTAATAAGTTTTATATAACGTAAATGATCGTGGAAGAAGAGAAAGAATCATTAATAAAATTATTGATCGCTTCTTCGACTGTAAAAGAAAGTATTTGGATTACTGGCGCATTTTGTGTAAATTATCAAAGGAAATATTCAAAATGAATAGAATAAACTTCGAAACCAACAATTAAATTACTAAATAAGTTGCGATTTAAAATTCGCGAGAAAACGCGACGAATAAATAATTCGACAATAATCGGAATATTCGATTGCAGATGCGCGAGTTAATAATAAATTTATAAAAAATTAATATGTGTATAACACTTATCATATTACAAGTTATTTCATTACAATAATTAATCATTTGGCTTTACATTAAGTTTAAAAACAATATCTACAACAAATTCTATAATGGACGAGCTATAAGAAATTAGAATAAGATAAGTGAATAAGATAAATACGTGTTATAAGAATAAATCAGCATCAGATGTAATTGATACAATTTTTAATGTTCTTTTCAATAAATTAGATAAAATTACAAGAATCTTTTCTCGGTCTTCTTTCTTTATGATTAATATACTGTAATATTTTCGCGATCTATGCAATACATTTCAAACGAATTTATTAAAAGTTATTTAATCTATCCTAGCTCATCCATTTTAAGGCAACAGATTTATCTACAATCTCTACCGTTATCTTAAAATTAAATAAAAGTTTTTATCACTCACCATGGCATTAATGTGCAGCAGCGGAGTTATCGTTATCCGTTATTATTGTTGTGGTTAAAACTACGTCTGAAACATACAAATATAAAATTCATTTATAACAAGGCTGCGGAATTTCATATCCCGTATGTAGAATAATAAGCAGATATAAACACGTATGGGAAGATTTTATAAATTTTAAAATTATTTTTTAAATAGAAATTTTCATATTTATAAAAATCTTTCTCTCTAATTTTCTCTTTAATTCCTTTAAATTATAAGAATGAATTATTATGCGTACGATTTATAACAATTGATATACAAATAATAAATATTCACCATCAGGTTGCTCCGCCGATGCAAGAATCCTCTCCCAGGCCTCCTCCTCCTATCATGTTGTTTGCGCGCGATACTTTGACGACACTCCCGCACTCGCGAACGATATTTTTATATCGCTATTTTCGTTATTTTACGCGCGATACTGAACGGCACTCCCGCACTATTCGATATGATTAAAAATTTTCTGTTTTGTCGCGCGATGTATATATTTAATATATATATACTTTAAACGGCACTCCCGGTTTCGGTACGAGCGAAAATCCCGTTTCACACAAGAGTCATCTTCGAGTCAACAGGTCCGGCTCTTTTGTTTCAATTTTTATTTTTCAATAACGAAGGATCGCGTTTCGATGGATGTATCATCGCCATATAGTTTCATGTTATTCATTAAGAGTTAATTAATTGTTAATTGTAATAGTCGTAGCGAATTATATGTCGATATTAATCGCGATCGCACTGTTAGAAAAAGAATTCAATAATACGAAGTGTTCCGTATCACTACTTTACTACTCGAATATCGCCGTGCGAATGATACAAGATCTTCGCCTATGTAAACAATACAGCGCTACGTCATCAAGGCCGAACGTCGTGTTATTGACTTCGCTGCCGAAATATTTAACGCGTACTATGACGTACATATACGAAAATTGAATTTATATACAAGTATATTTTTAAAATCACACACACATGTACACACAGATTAATTATTTATTAAACGATTAATATACATCACAAGGCTTTCCATTACGTTAATTATTCGATTTTGCCATTCGATCAACGAAATATTCTTAATTATAAATATTAAAAGAATAATAATTATTGTTCCTAAGGATTGCAACAAAATGATAATTTATAATTTTGATTCCGGTCACACATCGATTCTTAATTGCATTCGATTCTATTTTTAATTAAATGAACACATCACGCGAAATACGTGTTTCGAAATTATATTCTCATTATATTCCAATCGTATAATCGAGTATTTCGAATAATGCAAAGAGCAATGGTCAAATCAACTATTTATTAATAATAAAATTGTAACTTGTACGAATGTATTCCGTTTATCCCGTACGTTAACATCGCGGCAACAATGAATAAACTTTTAAAATAAATAATCAGTATATCGAAACAGTTTTACCGATTTAATTACTGATATAAAAACCGATCAATTGACCAGTTGGTGAAACTGTTTCAATATACTGGTTATTTTCTTAAAAGAATTGTTATATGACGAATTGATATATTATTTTTACGCGCGTCACGCGTTCGAACTCAATTTTGACTTCTCGCGGGAAGACTCGAATCGTTCGTCGAGAATCGATCCTTCAAAACGCGATTGTTCTGTATAATTTTTACAATTAGTGATTATTAATTTGTACGATTTTTATTTACACAGCGAGTGGCACGATTTGATTTTGATTTTAATTAATGTCGAGTGAGTCATAACTTTTTGAGATATATTGCATTATTATCACGTAGCAAAATGACAAAAGGCTTGGTGTAACGTCGCGAGTGTTGTACAAAGCGTAAATTGCTGTATAATTGTATGCTGATTAGTGCGTAATTACTTTTTTTGAATATCAAGTGAATATCATAAAGCAGAAAAAAATAAACGAGAAAAACGAAAAAAATAATTCATTAAACGCAAATTAAATTTATAAATTCATAAATTTGCAAAAAGTGGCAATAAAAGTAACTGTTAAATTCGTTATTCGTTACCGAAAACTGTAACAAAGCTACTTTTTTCATTACGAAATTTGTAACGTCGTTACCGTTACAGTTATCGAAAAAAGTAACTGTAACGACGTTACAAGTAACGCGTTACTTCCCAACCCTGGGAAATAATATATATAAATAATAAATAATTTTTATAAATTACTCACCACATATCTCTCTGGATGCTTCAGGCTCTGTCACTGCTCTCTGGCTGTCCAATACTTTTCCAGATGTCCTTCTCCTTTCTTTTTCATTCTTTGCTGTTTCCTCGTAGCACTGATATTCACTCGCGAACAAACAATTAATTATATTTAACCGTGTACAGAAACGATTGCGAGACACTTTGCATAGCACTCCCGATCGCGGAATAATTACGAGAAACGCACTTTAATATATCGTATCTCATGTTGTTGGCGCGCGATACTGACGACACTCCCGCACTCGCCAGCGATATTTTTATATCGCTATTTTCGTTATTTTACACGCGATGTATATATTTAATATGTATATACCTTTAACGGCACTCCCTAATATGTATATACTTAACGCGACGCGTTGACGAAGCGCTTGCCATCCGCGGCACGTTGACGGCACCGACAACGCGAAAGGGTACTTAGCTTCCCTTTCAGGCACCTTAAGATTTATCATAAATTGAAAAATTTAAGATAAATCTCAAGGCACCATCCAGGTACTAAGCCCTCCCACCGCGACAAGGTGTACCCTATGGGAGGGTTATATTATATTATATATAATTTTATATATAATATAATATATAATTAATTTTGTAATATACTATATAAATTTTAATTCGCAAATATAAACGATAAATAAAAATATAAAAGATAAGAGAAAATCTATTATATAAAGCAATGTTCAAAATAATTGTTAGAGAAAGAATTTATGGAACGTCTCATATCACTACCTCACTGTTCGAAGGCCATTGAGGGAATGATCGTAGATCAAAAACATTACCGCAATACTGTTTATATCGCCAAGACCGACTTATATTATGTTATTGTTATAATTCGTCGTTGAAATATTCTATGAATGATTGCCGATTAAGAAAATTTAAAACATTGGTCGAAATTTATTTAATTCTAATAAGTATAAGTTAGATAAATTATTATACTAAGCAGCAATAATCGAAAGACCATAATAAAATTAATTTCTTTATCCCTTTTTATATTCCCTTTTTCAATTTTTATTCGCAGTAATTAATGATTGCGGTTCGATAAAGATTTATCGTTGCGATACATTTTCATGACGTTTATCATAAGTTAATTTATTTTTAATTATTAGTAATTATATCAAATTATGTTTTGATACTAATCGTAATCGTGTTTAGAAAAAAAATTCGACAATGTGCGAAGCGTTTCGCATCACTACTTTATCGCTCAAGTGTCATCATGCGAATGATAATAAAGCCGTAACATATTTAACAATAGCGTGCTATTGTTTATATTGCCAAAGTCGAATGCCATGTCGATAATTCGTTGCCAAAATATTTTATAAATTATAAAATATACATTAACATGGAATATTAAATTATGGAAGTATTTTAATTTATTGATTAAAATTGATTATTTATTAAATAATTTATCACGGATCTAATTATTTGAATTTATTCGATTATTTTACCGCGCTTTTCCGAAGTCAAATTCTATAATATTTAGTTTTGCTTTTAATTATATTTTAAAAGATTGACTTATAGCGAGCTAAATAAATAAATAAATAAATGTTGAACAGAAAAAGAAGACACATAAATAAATAAATAAATAATAGTGTGGAAAGAGAGAACATACTAATATTTTTATATAATAAATTATTATTAATTAAATTATTTATATTTTTATTTATATTATTTATATTAGTAGAGAGATATATATGTTACCCTTTGAGAACATTCGTGGACGTTGGCTTTGTAGTTCATGTCCACGTTTTTAGATTAACAGAGGACGTATCGCTTTCAGGGATCACCTAAAAGCGGGCCATGACACCTCTCAGTCTTCTCTCTGTTATTACGCATGTGCGAAAAATTTTTTTCCTCTCTTGAGTGCGTTCGAAAATCCTACTCTTGAGATAAAATAACTTTTATTTGACCAATCAAAGGTAAAGATGTCTTTGCTCTGATTGGTCAATTAAATTATACTCTACCTTACAAGTAGGATTTTCGAACACACTTATCCATGACATTTCCTTGCACGTATTTTTTGAATTCAGAATTTTCGTCATTCCGTTTCAAGTGGAAAAAAATTTTCGAAGATTGTGAATAATACGAAACTACTAGGAAGACTTCCTAAAAATTCCCAAGTGTAGAAAATTATAGAAGAAGAAAAAAAGGGGAGAGTGCGAATATAAAACAATTTATAATCTTGATATAAAAACGGACTTGAAATATTTTGTTTGTTGTTGATATTACATGCAAAACATGGTGTACTTGCACTTTCCGTCAAGTTTAACGGAAGAAGAGCTGATGTTACAGGCCAAATATAACAAACTCAAGAGAAAGGTATATAATATCGAGGTTATGTTCACTTTTTTTTAAATGTCTAACATGCATGTGAATGCATTATTTGTGTACAATTATTGCAATAAATTATAATAAGAAGATGAAAAAAGATAAAATGGAAAAAGAAAAAAACATACATACAGAGAATTAAAGATTAGTAAAATTGTAGCAAATAATAAAAAGAATCTAACCTAAACTATACGTTTTAAAAAGAGAAAAATAATGCAAATTCTTTTTTTTATATAGATATCTATTTTTTAATTCATTTAAGAGATTGTAAAATTAAATTACTAAATTTTTACTTAAAAAATAAAATATTCAAAAATAAAATATTCTCTCTTAAATATGCAAATAAAATATTCTCTAAATAATTATTTGTATGTTTCTTTGATTATATCTTCACTCATTGTTAACCGTTTTTTGTTTGTAGAAAAAGGCTTTGCAAGATTTAAAGGCCCCTAAACAGGAAGTAGAACGTATTCCTCAAGCTCCAAAACGACCTACAGAAGCAAGAGATGCCCGCGAAGTAGCTAAAAAATTAATAAAATCTGGTGTAATCACAGCTCCAAAAACTCCTAAACGCCCGGAGCAAACTTTCAAGAGATCTCGTGGACTAGAAAGAAAATTAAATAGTACAGAAAAAACAGTTAGTTCTTACCAGCCATTTTCGGCGACACAAGAAGAAGAAGAAACAGAGGCAGTAAGACCAAGAGTGAAAGATTTGTATAATAGTTTTGTTGGTGCTCAGGATACTGGAGATAGGAATGCCAATGATACGCAGACTCCATCTAAACAAGAGATTAAGCCACGTGCAGGAAATACAATATTTGTATGTGGATACAAGATAACAGAAGATTATCTTAAGAAACATTTCCAAAGTTTTGGAAATATTGTTAATATTTCAATGGAAGTAGAAAAAAAGTAAGTAATACAAATTATTTTTCCTATATACAATAATATGGACTCAAAATTTAAATATACTAGAGACATTTTTGCAGTAATATGATGTAAGTAATAATTTTTTACTTTTTTCTTAGTCGTGGCTTTATAACTTTTGAAAAAGCTGAAGCAGCTGAAAGAGCAATAAGTGAAATGGATGGTAGTATGGTCTCTTCGATTCAATTGAAAGTTTCGTTAGCAAGAAGACAACCTATAATAGAGCCTGTGAGTGATACTATGTCTAGTTCTATGTGGTCACCAATTGCAGCTAACTATTCACAAAAAAGCGCACATAAAGACAGACGTGATCTTAAAGTATATGAAGAGGATCTTTTCCAGTAAATGTAAGTATTTTTGCATTACTCTTAATTTTTCAACTGTTAATATTCCAAACAACATTATATATTTTTTAACAATTTGTTATTTGATATTTATCTATAGTAACTTTCTTTTTAATTTATTTCTTATATTACTCTTCCATTTCATTGTGACATATTCTGTGTCATAAATACAATAAATTTAGATATATAGCAAATAATTTTTATGAGATTATAGACATGTATATTTTTTTCTATCTTACTCATTTTTTTTTAAATTGATAGTGCACACAATACCATCCTATTTATGCCTATGCATCAGATTATTAAAATACGAATGGGGAGTGAAAAGGACTAAGAATAAAAAGATTGATAATTTAACTAGCAAAAATATAGATATTTTGCTACATAATATTTTCTTTTAAATTAAAAAAGATTATATCTGAAATATTCAATAATCTTTCTACACTAAAAATTTACTTCTTCATACTTGCGCATATCATAAAATAAATTAGACTAAAAATTGTTATAAATTGTATACTTCAGATATTAATTGTATATTTGGCACAGTGATAAAATTACAATTTGTTTATTACAAACCTGGCATTTTGCTTTATTTTGATGCTTTTATAAGAATTATAATTCCATCCTAATTCCTTGTTTCGCCATAGACTGTATTTTTTTAATATATTATATGTCCTTCAACACAAAATTATTGTTATATAAAACAAGTTTATATAAGAATATGAAATTTTCATTTCTATGAACCAATGAATTATTTATGAATATGTATACATATGATATAGACAAACTGGATTGTAGAAAACATGTTATTGAGGGGGATTAAAGTAATCCCAATGGTGAAGATGTGTTACAGTTTTTGTGTTACTAAAATAATATATCAACAAGCCTACAATCAAAAGTAACAGAGCACATATTGCTAATTCTACTTCTCTGATTTTCTCTGTCGTATCATCTACACTTAGTGTGGACGTTAAATATCTTATAAAATGCCTCATGGCTCTTATACCGGCCGATCGAATAGCTCGGAGAAGCTGCTGTGTAGTGTCTATAACACCAGGTTCTATATCAGTGTGTCGATTTATTTCACTCAGAGAAAAAAATTGGATTGGAATTTCGGAGGTTGGAAAGGCGATTAAATGAGTTGAGTTTAAAGGAAAAGAGGACACTGGCGATTCAGAGGACTCCCTTTGTCTCTCTCTAAGGGATTGTCTCGTATCGGAAGAATGGGAAATGACGGCACGCTGCGATTGAGCGTCCTTAGGGACACTGTGTCTTGTATCCGAAGAATAGGAAATGACGGCACGCTGTGGTTGAGCATCCACAGAAGTGCCATGTCTCTGGCGATCTACGATCGAATCAGGTGTGTCGGGAGTCACAGAGATGGCTGGTGGTAATGAACGGACTGGAGACGCAGTTTGTCGCATGATACCTTTGCTAGGCGAAGGGGATCTAGACCTCGATTTACGAGGAATCTGTTCTTTACTATCAGACAAATCGTCTTTGCTGCCATGAAGACTCGTAGATGTTGTGCCCGGGTCGGCAACAATAGTGGTAGCAGTAGAAGTAGAAGTAGCAGTAGCAGTAGCCGTAGCAGTGGAAGTAGTAGAAGTGATAGTAGACTGGACAGAGCTACTCGGAGGTTCGTCAACGCGTTCTGGCGACACTCTCGATTCGGAAGGTCGAGCTGAAGGCACATCCAATGGAGGATATGAGGCACGAGATTCACCGACGTGAGAGCCCGACGTGGTTTGCGAACTCAAAGTTAGGGGATGTTCGGAATCTAAAATTCGTAACGACTTATCTTGAATACCTTGAGCTACCTTGAGCAAATGTGTGATCAATTCGTCTTTATCCTTGGATTCTAATTCATCTATCGCAAATATTTGTGAGGAAGGGAATTCTTTGGTTTGAGCAACTGAAAGGGCGTGTGATATTTTTTTATCCTTGACATCTATTATGTCTGTTTTAACAACCTTTTGGTCCTCGTTAGTCTCCGTCTCCTTGTCTTCCGCGAACACCGGTTCGATGGCCTCGTCGGATTCTGCCGCTTCTCGTGAATCCTCTTGCAAAACAGATTCCTGCTCTCGAACTTGACTGTCGTCGGTCGTGGGAATGTCGGGTATCTTGCGACTCGCGGACTCCTCGCTTTCACGGTGTCTCTCTTGCACTACGGTTTCCAAGTGACTCCTAATCGCCATCAGTTCTCTGATGATAGCTGGCGAAAAACTCTCTTCCACCGAACTGCTGCCGCCTCTCAATTCCGACGCCGTAATCATCATTGCGTCCACTTCGGATGCCATAATTTTGTGCGCTTCTATCTGTGACACGCTCAGCCGATCGACTTTTAAGTCGCCAACTTCAAGGGTGCTGATCCTCAACGGTTCGTCAGATAGCAGGCCTGAGGATTTCACCTGAGGTCGTGATTGCGATTCTTTCGCGACGCGTTCTTTCAAATGCGGCGCCGATCGATACTTGTCTTCTAAATCTCTTTCTCTCATCGGCGATGGTGTCCTCAGTGACATCGTATCACCATACGCCATTCGAATGTCCTCTTCTTGCCGTTCTTCCTCCTCCTCCTCCTCCTCTTCTTCTTCTTCTTCCTCCTCCTTTCGTATAAACTGCGACATTGGTAGTGGTGGTACGGGCGGCGTGCTTGTCCTACTCGGGCTGGGTATGCGCTCCATCGATACCATCACTTGTGAACCTGATATTGAAGGCGTTACTATGAGCTTTGCCTGGGTGATCTCCTCGATCACCATATCGTCCGGCAATGGATCGGTTTGCGTCGCCGCCGTCATTTCCATTGTCTCCGAGTACTCGAACGGGGTGCGAGGTCGTTCGACGATCGCGTGCTCCTTCTTCGCCCTGGGTGGTCGAGGCGGCGCCGGAAGTGGTCGGCCTTGGATCTTGTTAAGCATCCCGCTGCGAAGATCTCTGTGCTCGGTATCTTCTGCGTCAATTTCGATGTACGGCGTGGATTCAGTGGGTGTTAATATACCGATGGTTTCTGATGCCGCGCTGGTATCCCTCGTTCTGGCGGGTCCCAGAGTGCTATACGCTCGTTGAGGTCGTTTAGGCGGGGACGGTCTCGGTGTCGTAGCGAACTTGTTGCGCTTTTTCCTAGGCGGTGGTGGTCTGGGTGGTTTCTCCCGCTTCTCCACGATAGCGTAACCAAAAAAATCCCTCGAACCGCTCTCGTCCTCTCGCGGTATATCCTCCTCTATGTAGTCGGCTTCCGGCAAAGACTCTGCGCCATGTGACGTCCTGTCCTCGTCGGCGGCAACTGACGTTGTTCTCGAACGAGATCGTCTCTTCGGCGGAACCGGTACCACTTCCGGTTCCGGCGCGGATTCCGCTCGTCGGTGCCGTGCGTCTAAATTTATGATGTTGTCACGGCTTGTGGACCTTAAGATATCGCGTTCAACCAATGACTGTCGCGATCGTGATTTTCTCGTCGGGATCACTGGCTTTTTCGCAATTTCAATTTCCCACTCATCATCGCGATGACCATTGCAGATTGGTACATTCACATCGCCGTTTCTTCGGTCCACCATCGTCTCTCGGTGCGAACGCTTCCTGCGTACTGGTACAATGGGTGGCGTGACTGGAAGAAAATCAGATGAATCAAATACAGCAGGCGTCGAGGGGAAGAGTATCGATGTTTCCATCGGTGGTTGCGACTGACTACGTAAAGACGACCTCGATTTTCTTCGCGCCGGTTTTACCACGACTATATCGTCCAATGGTTCCTGCAATGGTTCCGATTGATTCCCCTCCGTCTGATACACCACGAGATGTCTAGAATCGCTTCTGGAATCACTTCTTGTGCGTTCACGGAACACCTCATCCACGATTGACGCCTCTCGACTACGTCGAGCCGTCGCCGAGCGTTCCCGTTTCGGTCTTGCTGGTGGTATTGCTTCGATGGGCTGCTCCGTTAAATCCCCCTTACGTTTTTTCAAGGTTCTCATAGGACGTTGAGGCGGCGGAGTAGGTGGAAGCTCGTCGATTTTCGCTTTAAGAGCTTCTCGAATCTCGTCAGTTAGATAATTATTCAGGTTGATGTCGTCCTGACTGATACCGCTCGCCCGCACAAAGAATTCGTCAGAATCGATCTCTTCTATGACTCCGCGACGCCTTCGATCGCAAGAACTGCCACTAGATGCTTGCTGTTCCCGGTCAGATTGCATCGAAGAGGGCTCATGTTCTTCTTCATACTCTTCTAATTCTTCTTCTTCGCCCTCTTTTTCCTCTTCAGGAGTCATTTTATGTGGTCCAAATCGTCTCGGATCTACAGCCATAAATGCTTCATCGTATTCTTCTCGTCCCATAACTCGCGGTATATCCTCGTCCAACGATCGTGCCTTGGCAATCGGTCTGAATTTTTCTTCAAGCATCATCTCTTGATTTGCTTGCCAATCAGCTGGCGCATCTTCATCTTCTTCGACTTCCTCTCCGTGAACGGGTTTTATTTCTTGATCATATAATCTCGGATCCATTACTTCTTCTTGCTCGTACGATTCTTCCTGCCGCTCCGACATCTTATGCATTCTTTTCGGCGGAGCGGGATGCCGATCTGACATCTCCGATGACTCTTGCTCATAGTCCATGTACTGTATCTCCTCTTCGTCGTATTGATCCCGTTTTCTCGTATCCTCCCACGGAATCGCGCGAGCCGCTGCCAATATCTCTTCTTCCGTTCTGGCCGATAGCCTTGGTGGTTCTTCCATCGAACTCTGATGCCATGGAGGAGAGTCGCTTGCTGCTGCCTCTTCTTCCGGACGATCCTGATCCGGATTATAAGTCGAGAAGCGCTGAGTCCATCTAGCGCCAAAGGATTTCCTCTTCCGAGTACGAGGAAAGGTCGCGCTCTCTGCGGACTGAGTCCTAGAGTCTTTAGGCGAAGACGTCGCGTACTCATCGTGCTTCTTGGACTTCTTGTCGAAAATACGCGGATACGTGGCAAAGTCGAAGATGTTACGCTTGGAACCGGCGGTGGAATCGGTCGAATGTTGCTGTTGCTCATGCAGAGGAGGCCGTTTAACGCGAGTAAACGCTTCCGGTAAACGTATATTGGGCTTTTTAATATTGAACTTTGGCCTCTCCGGCAAGTGGAAGCGCGACTTGTCCGGAAAACTGAATTTCGGTCTCTCCGGTAGATGAAATTTGGATCTGTCAGGCAAACTGAGTTTCGCCGTTTTCTCGGAAATGGACATTCTTATTCGATCCATTCTGCTAGGTCGCTTTTCCGCTGACTTGCGGGATTTTTCCGACTTGCCACTGCTCGCTGTCGATCTCGTCGTCGTTGTCGTCGTCGTTTTCTTTTTATCAGGCTTCTGCCGTTTTTGCGGGAACGAGAATGTGGGGCGTTTGAAATCCCGGAGCCGAGAGCGCAGCTTGCTAGCTTGCGTCTTCATGCGTTGAGATAAACCGCGAGCGCCTCGCCGAAGTGGCAGTTCCTCCATCGCCGATGAGTCTACCTGCAATAACAAAAATGCTTCCATGAGAAATAACGCGGGTTGAAAAAAAATTATATTCGTCTCTTAAGATACTTATATTCGTCTCTTAAGAGGCTTAAAAAATTTCAAAACAAAAAATGTCATTAATACAAAGAATAATAATTATAAGATTTTGGAATTGCAATGTACCTTTTAATATTAATTATTCTGTGGAGGAAACTTTCCCGCTTCATAAAATATAAAAATTGGAACACTTAGATATTATAATAATATTAGTCAAACACAGTTCTTACTTTGAGGTCACAATGAAAATGAATTAGTATCATGCGAAGCATTCGACATGCAATGCCGTTTAGAAACACGCAAAGTACACGTATTAAAAGCGCATATTTTAAATTACTATGACGTAGCTGTAGCCACTGTAATTAATCGCAAAGTATGTCACGTATTGTCAGATTCAAGAAATTTCGAATTTATCTGTTGGATTCACCGCAATATCGCGAGGATTTTACGTATACAATAATTCGCGTGAACTAGTTCATGTTCTCATTGAAAGCATCTAGCAAGGTCGAAGAATGATTAATATTTCGATGGCGCCATACATATTCTTGGATGCGATTGCAAAATCGAGATGGAGAGACTTCAGTTTTCTGGAACGTATTGCGAGTAACGCGATTACGCAATCGTGCAGTGACACGTTCGTGTCTCTTTTTTACACGCGAGTTTTGCTAAATATAGGCTCCATTCGGCACGAGTGACGAACTAAAGACAACAAGATCAATCTCACAAGCCTCGTAGTGTTTTTAAATTCCGGGGGTCTATCGATTCGCGCGCCAGTTATATTTAACCGCTTTTTCCCGTTATTCTTTTTTATTTAATTTAACGAAGAAAGAGCAACGATTCTCGCAAATGAAGTTTCTATAGATTATTTCGGAAACCACTTTATAAAAAGAAAATAAATTAATATATAATATTATCGATATATCGTTATAATATAATTCCATCATGTACTAAAGATTACGCGATGGATTGATTTTTTTCCCCCAAAAATCTTACAATTATTATTCTTCGTATTACATTAGGTATATAATATTGTTCTATGAATATTCATTTTTATCCGGTCAAGAACACGGTGGAGACATTACCTGGCTGGTATTGACCTCGCCGTCGGTCCTGGACTCGGTATAAGGAGTAGGCGCGTCGAGGAACCGCTCTTCGAGTCTGTCCTGAAATTGCTGTGCCGTGGGCTCCTGCTCCTCGGAAGTATCGCCGGTCCCGCCGAGCTCGCGACCCTCCATCGCGCTGTCCTCGATTTTGCCATCCAGTGGAAGGATCAGATCGCCGTCCAGGATCAGCTCCGGCGGCAGTCGGCCCCGGTCGTCGATGCTGTCGTCGCTGTCGGCGACGGGCATCACGTCCGTGTCGGTGATACGCACGACCGGCGCCATCGCCGGATGCGGCGACGGCGACGCGATCGGTTCGTACTCGTGCTCGCTGTACCGAGAATTCATCCTTGTATCTTATTATATCGGACGCAATTAAAATTCTGTGTTACAAATAAAAAGCTTCATCTCTTGTATGTAATTCTGGGCGATTTGTGTGCGATATCGCGCAAATGTCGAATATTTAAATGTAAATGTGTCTTCAACGAGATATGCGAGAAATTATCTTTACACTGAATGAAAGTCGAAATGTTGAACGAATAAATCGAACCGCAATCGCATACAACGAATTTATTGTCAGATGATTTGTGATTTGCGTGCTAATATTATCGAGATATTCTGAATAACTATTAAGATGTGTAAGATGTTAGTTTCAGTATCGAGAGTGATTACGTATTCGTGAAAATGTCACAATAAAAAATAAATATTCTTCTTTCATAATCTATTATCATATATCTATAGTAGATCAAAACACACACTGAAATATCACATCTATATAAAATTCATCCCAAATGTCTTTTGCGTAGTTTCAAGACCCATGTATCTCTTTTAATTCCTTCCATCCGGTCATGACATATTGCCCTACATGTTTCGATGATCTCTTTTTGATCTCATGAGACCAATGCAAACGAATGCAGGATGAAATTACACAGGATATCTACATCGGAATGGTCATGTCGATCGAACAAAACTCATCAACCGATATGTCACTGGTGTCATTGGTAATTTCACGTTATGTTCGTTTTGGGTTCGATATATTGTCCTTTAGTATCCCTTTAGACCGTGCAATACTTGGCGCATTTTTCGTAGACATTCTACTTTATATTATTTCTATATTTTCTAAAAATATGCTACTTACAATTTTTGCATTTAAAGAATTCGACTGTATTTTGAGTGAAAAATTTTTCACCCTGTTTATTTTATAAAGCAGAAATTGAATGTGAATTCAATAAGTTGAATTTTCGATGCTACAGATGCGTAAAAATGATACAAACGTTTAAAAAAATCGCAAAAATATTTGAAAAAACATCTTGAATTTTTCAGATTTAAATTTTTCAATATTTATACACAAATTTTAAAGATCTTTTTGGTTGTATTTTCTATAAATACATTTTTTTTATCATTACAATTACATCCTCGTGAATAAAAATTGAAATCACTTTCGTGTCAACATCAAAACAACGTTTCACTCTGCAGCATCAAGATTTAAATTCTGACGATTTAAAATGAATCTGAAGATTTAAACTGAATCACTTCCCCGATATTTGCTGTAAACGCGCTCTATACAGTATCCAATACACGGTCTAATGGTTCCACATCGGACGTCCATCCCGGGGAGGTCATGGCGTATACCGGTGCGGGATGCGGGTTGCGGACGGGGAACTGGACTTGGCGGATTTGGGAGCTGACCGAGCTTTCTATCTATAGCCAGCCGGGCGAACCTTAAATAGCCGCGGTGATCTGCGATGTGATTTCACAGATGTGTAACCTATACCCAATATGCGCGACGAAGAGGACAGGTGGGTCAGATGGACAATCTCGCGAAGACAGAAACACCACCTTACACCATCCACGATCCATTGGGCGAGAATAGATGCTCAATGTGTTTAGCTCCGGTTTGATCGGCGTAGAAGAAAGATATACTGACCTGCAGCGGACCGCAGGTGGCTGCTGCATCGTCCTGGATGATGGTCTGGCTTGAAGAGCACGTCGTTCCGGCAGAAGCGAGTCGCTCTGGTAGTACTGACAACCGCAACGGACCTCGCGTCCGAGGCTCGACGTCGACGAAGCGCGTCGTCCTCGTTGCTCCGGCTCCATCCCCACCCCCGGAGAAACGATGCCGGTGATCCACCTCCAGTCTTCCTCTTCCTCTGCCTGTCTGCTTGATTTGACGATCGACGATCAAGAAACGACGACGACGTTTCGTAGTTCTTCTCGAGACGTCGTCCGCGAGACGTCCTTCGTCTCTTGATCGTGGAGTAGAGAAAGAAAGAGAAAGAGAGAGAAAAAGAGAGAGAAATAGTATGGAGAGAAGGAGGCTGAGCGGTCGCTAGAGCAGCCCGCTACAGCGGCTCCTAGCCGACTCTCTTCTGTACCCTCGGCCGTCCATCGCGAGCGCGACCGGAGCGGACATCAAATTATTTATAGCAGCCACCGGTATTCGGTGGGCCACGACACTGTCTCGAGAACGCCCGAGTCATCGAATCACCTGGTGCATCTGCGGTCGTCGTCGCAGTGCACGCGTACTATCGTGACAAATTTCACCCGGTTCATCATCGTGCGCGAGAATATCTGGGAAGCTGATCGAGAGGCGATGTTTCTTCTCCCTTTTGGTTTTGATTTGCTAGACGTAGAAGAAGTCGCGTCATGATTGGCTAAGTATCAAATAATGTATTGTGTTGATACGATATTTGTTGGTATCTCCAAGAAAAATGAAGAATTGATGTGACTGTGAAATATGATGTATGATTATTTGAGTCTATTGTCATCGTCGGAGTAAAATTCTCAATGATAAAATGACAAGTGCCGCTAACACAGCACGAAATTAGGATACAGCTGCGGTATTCTACCTTACATTAGCGTCACTTACCGCTGTCTTAATTATCAAAGAAGGTCACTTGTGCAGTGGCAGCAAGTACAAGCGATTCAATAATTCTTTCGCGTTATTTTAATTATGTATAAAGTCACCATTTTTTATTGTTGCCGTAAAAAAATAAAAGAAGCTGATTCTTACGCAAGATCCTCGATTCTTCAAATCCTCTACTTTCGCTTATTAACTATCCTGCAGGGATATAGCTAATATAAAGTAGGAGCATCTGGAAAAATCTGAACAAAAGTTGAACGTGCATCTTCGGTGTTTCCTCGAAGCAATTTCGATTTGAAATGGCAGGATAAAGATCATCTAGGTTGATTGAAAGATGAAATGTTTTCTTCTTGAACAATCTCGTTGCAATGATATGCACCTTTCTGCAGCTCGAACATGTATGCAGCATGAAGAAAGCATGAAGATTCGGCATAAGATTGTGTCACATCATCGAATGCCAACATCGCGATATAATACTATTAATGACACCTAAACAAATATTAAATTTATGTTAATACACTTCGATCAATGTAAAAATAATTTGTAGAAAAGAGCCGCGCAACTGCGCTGTGCATTCTTCTTGAAATCTGCATTCGTAATTGTACATACTCGTAATTCAATATTATATATAAACATGTCTCAAGATTACCGGCGTATCTTTCATGTCTTGAAAAATCGACCAAGAGTTAATCTTTCTTAATAAAATATTGACTACATACAAAGTCGTCTTCAATATGATCTTCAATTATAATATATAGATAAATAATAAATTGAAATAATATATAAACTACTAAATATTATCGATACATTTTTTTTGAGGAACAATTTAATTTGAATCAAGAAATGAGAATAGAACAACGATAATTCTGAAACATCCTGTACACATATTGAATATTCTGTTATAGACTGATAAGACGATGATTCGAATGCAAAAATAAATTGAGATCGATCATCTAAACTTAAAAAAAGCACAAAAATTATTATTAACTCTTCAATTCTCGCGATCTCTATGTTCTTGTAAATAAAATTTCATATGAAACAGTTTCATTATATTTATTTTATTCTACATTTCCAATTTTTATTTTTGAATGTAAAATCTATAAATCTTAGTTATTATTTATTGTACGAAACATTTGCATATCAATATGTAAATATATAACATTATATCTTTTTCCGCATTTGTAACATATTTTACAGGATGTTTCGGACTATTTATATCGTATTTTACGTCGGTTTAAATCATCAATTTTAAACTAAAAGTATTAATATAAACTTAACATTTTTAAGACATAAATAATTAAAAATTAGAAGATACATATAATCAGAGAAAATAATAAAGTTGGTAAATCAAGTTTCACGTAAATAACAAAATATTGTCTTTTAACTAATTTTAAATAAGATTTACTTCAACAAACCTTTAATTTAACTATCAAGATATTTAATCTACAAAATTGGGTGGACGGTGCGGCGCGATGAAGTTTTTGCAAAAAAAGATTTCGTTCGAAATCCAACAATATTCCATTGACTGAAAGATGGTCCGGTAGATCTGAAACTCTCCATTCTTTGCAATACTTTATAAAATATATAGAATGTACAGCATGTGTATAAATATATAATACACTATGTATGTATGTATGTGAATGTATGTGTGAGATGTGTGTGCGTACGTATATGTGTATTATGCTAGGAATTCTATAATGACATTCGCTCGACGTTCGTTCAGCTGCTAAGGTCCGATATTATGGTTGTCGTCCAGGAGGGATGATCACAAGTGAACGCGAGAAACATTTTCTTCGATAATCTTCCGACTCGCTCGTTCCGTGCGAGTCATCATCCGTGCGGTTAACGTCAAACTTGCAGACCGCGCTCTACTTTTTGCTTATAAATAAACAAGCGGAGGAGAGAAGAGACGTTGTGCGCGTGGGTGATGACGGCTCGGCCGATCACAAGCGACCACGATGATGCATGAATTTCTATCTTGACTCGCGCAAAGTTGTAGCGCAAAGGTAGAGAGCGCTTTTACGGTGCGTGTTTTACGAGACAGAAAGAATGCAAATATCGGGGATTGTGTTATTCGTATGAAAATTATATTGCCACTCCATACACACATACATATATATATATATATATATATATAATATATATATATATATATATATATGTATGTATACATATATGTATGCATGTATATGTATATGTATATACATATACTATGTTACAGTTCAAGCATTCAAATTCGCATTTTTTCATCGAGCGTGTAACTTTCTCGAAGAAAACCAAAAGCAGTAGTTTTTTTTTATTTTTACATTATCAGTCCGAAGCGTCGATGCGTATAGTAGTACACTCGTTCGATCGCCGATCGTGTATTTAGAGATTCTCGCAGCGCAACGCGAACGATATAATCGGACGGTGTGAACAAGTCCCGTCGTCTGAATCACGTTAAATCTCGGTAGAGCGATATCGTGCTTCAGTGCCGCATATCGTATAACATATATCGCAATACTACCATTCGTGTGCCATATTGGAAACCTCGGGATCGTTCTTTGTCTTCCTTTGAAAGTCCCGAGTCACACATACACACGTAGCCGCTATCTCGCGATTACTGCGAAGACGCGGTTTAATGAGGTCTCAGTGTAACGATTTTATTGTTGCAATTATAATTACAGTAGTCGTAATCGTAATCGTGGTTGTGAGATGGTAACAGAGTCATGTCGGGAGCTGGGCAAGGAAGATGCCGGGGTCAGGCGAGCTCGTTACTGTCCGGGAAATGATCACGTGCGTCCAGACAGGCGGCCAAATCGAGAACCAGATGATGGAGAGTAGGGTGCTCCAGGACTTCCGCGTCCGGTAAAGGCGGATGGCAACGCGGCCTCTGTTGACGACCTCTGAACGAACGATGTAGATTCAGCACCACATCGCAGAACACGTAACGCACCAGCAGCAACCGCAAAAAATCGTCGCCAAAGAATTGCAGCACGCTAGTCTCTGTGAATTACGAGATTGTAGATGAAATCATGAGTGATATCGAAAAATGGGAACGGTCTGATGGAGGAGGATGCCTCTTAAATATCAGATCTTTTTCAATTTACGATATCAAAATCGACGCATATATTTTTCTTTTGCATTGATCTTCATTGAATGAGAAATCGTATTGTATTTCTTAATTTTCTTACTCTTATACCATAAGAGTTAAACTTTCAATTTAACTTACTTTCTCAAAATGATATAAAAGCGTCGAATTAAGAAAAAAAAATAATCTTGTCAGAGAAATTGTCGTCGAGATTGATTTCGAAATCTTTTAATTTTTGATGACTAACAATAAGTTCATCCGAGGATTTGTTGAGCCGAAAGATATTTTGGTATTGTTTTGAACAAAACACGATTGTTCGGGATAGTTTACGCGATACAACATGGTTTCATCTCTCTGAAAACAATAGTTATCCCTCAGAAGTTAAAGAGATACGCAGAAATCGAGAACGCGAGTTCGCCAATAAATTTCCTTGGATCTAGGCCAAACGTGTTTATTGTTGTAACGCGATCGTAAGTCGCATTCGGTGAGACTGGCTGCTGTTGCACTAACGAGAATATGCCCTCGTTTTGACGATAAAATCTTAATTTTGCTCGCTTTTTTTCTTAATATCATGCTATAACTGTCAAACACCACGCAACATACTGGTCAAGCTAAATAAATTTTGTCGATAACTGTATGCATCTATTTAGCAATTCAATCTTTTTGACACCGATGAGTTCTATCTAAAATTGTGTATTAAACGATTACATGTTTTAAACGATTTTTAACGCTAATATTTTAAAAAGCGGACACTAAAAATATTTTAATATTCAAACTCGACAATTAGAATGTCTGACAAATTGTTAAGCGTTAATTGTTCCTATTTCGAGTTAAAGTATAAATCCCCATGTTTTTCAATTAAAATCTTAAATAGTATCGATATTTAAACAATCAGCGACTTGTCGGACTGATTTAAAGAGAGTATCTCCCAAAATTCATCGTTTTCTACTATCGAACCTGCTCCTCAGCCGTTTTCGTTTAATCAAAGCTTCAACACCATGATTGCGTCGAGTATCCTTACCGCATCGGGAACGCGTTACGAGCTGACTGGCCTCGTTAAGGAATCGCTCGATGTAACGCTGGCAGCGCTCCCAATGTTGCACGGGCAGACTCCCGACGTTGCATATAAGGCAGAAGGCGGCGAGGGGGGCATGAAGAAAGAGGGTGAACAGGCTGCCACCGTGTCGCAGGTCGCGCAGGGTCGGTGGCACATCCTGCGGCGACATCAGCACCATCAGCGGCTGGCCAAAATAGCGCGGTATCTGCTGGAACACGAAGCTGTTGTCCGAGTCGACGACGACGAAGAGCGGCTTCCTGGTGAACGGATAGAGATCACCCGGGTACAGGCAATGCGGCTCCTTGCCACCGGCCGGCCTCTTCCCGTGCTCGGGATCCCTCTTGCTGCACGTGGACACGCCGCCCAGGTCGTACCCCACTGTACGATCGCAAGATTTTATCAACATCGTGCAATTCTACGTTCGCCGAGCCATCAAATGGAAATGTCAGGCAACTTTGAGGAAATCTCGAAATTCTGTTCATTATTTGTTTATTTGTCTGCGAAGTATTTTGCAGGATTTACATCGAGTTTTAAAAATGAGTTACATTCTGAAATCTTTTTTCAACGAATGTTTGTTCAATCATCTTTTTTTAGAACTTTTAATTTAAAAATTTGTTATTTAAATCTATTATTTGTGTGAATATTTAAAATTTCGAATAATTAAAGATTTCCGAAATAAAAGAATACAAATTAATAACAAAAGATCTTGTCATGCTATGTATCTATTTTATACATATATTACTTAATTTTTTATTAACAATCTAAAATTCCGTTATTCAAATGCATAAAATTGTATATGCAATTTCATTATTAAAATATTTCATATTAAAAAAAATTTCAAGTATTCTTAAATAATTATTTATACATCTTTCTCTTTCCCCAATGTTGCCATCATCCACTGCGATAAATATTTTAATTTCAAATCTAAATAAATGTTTAAAAATTTTTTATTTTTATGTTTCTCAAGGCAGTTGTATTAATAAACAAAAGAAATTCATTCCACATTATTTATGTTACCAATTATTGTAATCGATAGACGTCTTTCTAATACATTGATATTGATTGCAAAGCTAGATTCGCCATGGTACGAATCTTTATTACGAAATAACCTTGATGCTAGGTCGCTACTCCATTTTCCTTTAAAGACCTTGGTTGCAACTAGCGACTGATATGTAACCTTTATCTAAGCAATATGTAATCCTAGTCTAAATTGCAATCAACTAAAGTTACGCATGACATGCGGATAAATGGTTCTTAAGTGACCTTGTTTTTACTTTTATCAGCATAGATATGCAAACATTTTATGAAATAAAATAATTAATTGGACGCAATAATTGAAAACATAACATGTATAAAGAATGCTGCATATTTTATATGAAAAAGTGGCTTCGGTTAAATTAACTGAAATTGAAATATGTTATAGTTTAAGTGATGCTGATCAAAAGTTTCCTCGGACAAAAAGTCCGAAAATAAAAAATATAAAAGATATGATGATTTGAAGTGAGTGATATTAAAGTTTCAGAAACGCCTGTTTTTGAATACATAGATTAAATTAATATATAAATGTTTGAAAAAATATATATATATATAATCTATGTCATTTCTGTAGTATTTAATGACTCCAAATTGTCTGTGCGTGTATGTGCACATATATATGGCAGAGAGAGTTTAAACATATGACAGAAGGAGTCATTAAATATTATAATATACTTCAAATTATTATATCTTTTATATTTTTGATTTTCGGACTTTTTGCTCGAAGAAATTTTTTATCAGCACCATCTAAACTACAACATATTTCAATTTCAGCCAATTTGACCGGAGCTACCTTTTTCATATAAAATGTACGGTGTGTCCTTTTCCATAAAAACAAAAGTTTCCTTTGAAACTTGAAGTTTATCATAATATTAAATCATCAATGGCAAAAAATAACGTTAATATATTATTTAAGAAGCCTGTATTTATATTATTTAAGAACCAAGAATTTATATTATTAAGAACCTATTTTTTTATAGATATTCATATGTATTTATATGTAAACTATTTCAAAAAAATTTATAGAAACATGTCATGATAAAAAATATGAAAAAGCATTATGCACATAAGTCGTTTTTAAAAATCACACTTATGAATGAAAAGATGGTATATAGTCAAATAACTGTATCCACTCGAGATCGCGATGAATTTTTTATTATAATTAATATTGTTAGAGATAGAGATTAATAATTGTTAGAGAGAGAGAGAGAGAGAGAGAGAAAGAGAGGAGGGGAGAGGAGAGAGTCAATAAACGAAATACATATCTGACGCGAAATCGCGCAATAAGAAGACAGTTAAATAAAAATACGCTAATTAGATCTCGCCAAAAGATAAGGATTTTTTTACTTCCTTAATACAAAACGGCAGTAACAAATTCAACAAAAAAATTTGTTTAAAAATTTGTGAGAAAAATTGAGTCTTGTCAATTGAGTTTGTCAAAGAGTTTGTCTCTGAAGTATTTTACAGTCGATCTAGGGCATTCTACACGGTTCGTTTGATACAAAGAGACATTCTAAGAGAAAAAGAGAGAGAGAGAGAGAGAGAGTGAGTGATTGGTATACACGTGTACGAAGCACGTGGTGAGGCGATATGCTACGAAACTATTGCAAAAATTATCATTATCTTTTTATTATTATAATTATGGTTGTTCCAATTAAGGCAACTCGAGGAAACTCAATTAGCCACTTCATGATGGTATCAGTGGCCAAAGTACCGGATTACCGGATCGAGGAAACTGACCGAAAAAATCGACGCGCGTTCGCCTTCGGCTTCGCTGAGCGGGTGATTCGCTTTAACTCTGCATGACTGTACAACGGGCTGTTCTGTATCAGTGGTCACTTTTGGATGACCATCGTTTGTGCTGGTGTGATCGACTCAAGCGGACCCGGAACGGACTTGGTGGTTTACACGAGATTGTAGGGCGTGAAATGCGGGACTCGATACTATCCGATGCAGAGATTGATAGTAATAAACGATCTAAATGATTTTCGTGTAATATTAAAGTTATTTGATATGAATGATTTACTAGTTCGCGATTGTCAATTAGAGACATCGATATATGAAAATTGACAGAATAATTTTTGCACTTTTCAAAGACTAAAATTGATTCCATATTAATATTATCTCTGTTTACGTATGCGTTTTTTGTTTATTATTTAATGATAATTAACTCTTCATATTTTTTAATATTTTTCATAATTTTCTCTTTTCACATTGAAGCACTAGATTATACATATATTATAGAAGCATGGATTCTATATTGTAAAAGCTTATTTATTTTCTTCCTTACGTAAAAGTATCAAATGACGAAACCTCAGAAAATCTCTGTGTCTCCTTCTTTCTTTCTCAAATTGTATTTTAACTAATGTATTTTAAAATGAAAATAGTAATACCATCAATTTCGTATGAAATATAAAACATCGCCTTAATATGATAATTTTTATTTAGTTCAATTTCTTTTCGATTCAGTTCAATTTTCTTTGACAGATATTGCCATTATTTAATTCCATCATTTATTATTCCCTATAAAAATATCGTTTTCCTGCGCGATATTTATAATGCCTTATAAATTAATCCATGAATAATAGGTCATCTTAATGGTAAAGCGAATAAAAGCTACTTAAACAGTTATCTGCGCGCGAAGCATTTTATAATTTCATTTAATTCTAAATTTTTTCAAATAAAATACAGAAATGATTCTCAATAATTCGAAACTAGTAATCTTCTATTTCAATTAACGCGAAATAAATTCACATAATTAATAGAAAAGACGCATCCATCCTTACTTCAAGGTTTATTTTCAGCGAACCTTCTATTTAAAATAAAGGTTACACACGCCTATAAACTTGCGACAACACAGCGATAAAACAAACGGTAAAGGCATTTACGTGAGAGAAACTCAATTAAACACTCACTTTCTTCGGGGTGCTTGACGGTAGAGAAGCAGCCGTCCGCCGACAGGTACAGCAGTAACGCGCCATTGGCTGGTAGCTCCTTGAAGCCACTCGCGAGGAACACTTGTACCTGGCTGTAGGTCGGCCTGTACAGCAGGTACTTGTGCGGATTGTCGCGTCTCGGCGCGCCATTTTCCGGTCCGGGATAAGGCCCAGGTCTAAAGGGCATCCGGCCGGCGGGCGAGGCGTCGTGCAGGTGATTCGGGTCGTCCCTCGGTTCCCGCTCGAGTGTCTGAAGCATTCTGAACATGTCCATCGACAACTCACTGAATTTCACCTGATCGGCGCAATTGCCGACGATTAGGATCTCTTGGAGAGATAGGCACATGTGTGGCGATCGTTCGACAGGTGGACAGGTCTGCGGACCGAGCCTGTGAGTCAGCACGATCGGGTTTGAGTCCGAGTGCAGGACACCGACTGCGGACTCGGCCTTGACGAAGGCCTTGATGTCGTCAAGAACGAGATTCCACTCGAGCTGATCGTCCGGCTCGTACGTGCTAGTATAATCGGCTATCTGAGCATCGAGCTCTTGCACGAGCTCCCGCACGAGCTTTATACGATTCAGCAGGAGACACACGACGATGAAGCGAGCATAATACCTGAGCTTCTTCACCATCAGATCGCTCCTGTCCTCCTTAGCTGCGCGACTGTAGTAGGCGCGACCACGTATCGCCGCGTAAAACGAATAGGCCTCGTGCAGATAGCTCGTCTCGCTGGTACGTAGGTAATAATGATAGTAGAGCTGACCGATCTTGCTGGCGATCTCGCCGATCTGCCACCTCTTGAGGCCATACTTTGTGTCCAGTATCGTCCTGAAAATAATCAAGATTGTATACATGAACGCACAGCACGTGTTCACAAAATCATTTAATCATTGAATTACATTTTTCTTTTTATCTTTTTTCAACTTTTAAAAATTAATTTCTTCTAGGAAATTTTATCACTTACATCATACTACTAATTAAATAATTTTTAATAATTTCAAACTTTGAAAAATATGTTCTTTTTAGAGAAAACGCGTGTTCCTATTCACGAACATTAATAGTAAAAATATAATATAAATATAAATAGTAAATATTTCTACAAATTAGTTGGAATGATAATTGCGACAATAAAGCATATTTCTCGTAAAAATTAATTTAAATGTGTATGTGTAATTTAAATGTAAAATATAAAATATTCTGAAAAACCTCATTTAGTTTTCAACATTTTTATATATAAAAAATAAATTAAAAGCAGTTTACAATATTCAGAATTATATATTTGATACAAACTTAACACATGCTCTCTCCCTCTGTGATTGTTAAAATCGAAACATACAATTTCTTTTAGTGCAATGATAAAATAACATTTCGATGATATATAAAATTAATAAAATTATATTGTATATATATAACATTAAAACTTTTCTAATATTGAAAATATATTGATTCTAAAGAATTGAGAAATTTTTAATAAAAAATATAGAGAATATGAAACTTCCTATATCTGCTCCTTAGTTTATTGCATAAAAATTCTATAACATATTACGTGATTCATCATGTCTACCTGTGGATAAAAAGAAGTTATGTCTTATAATATAAGTTTATGATAAAATATATACAAGTACATACATAAGAACAGTAGAACAGAAGAGTAGATATGATGAATGACTTTTTTATCACTGAATATAATATATTAAATTGTCATGTGATGACGCATAAATGATGCATAACGTACAATGTAATTAATAACAAGAGAAATAACGAGAAAAAAGGAGGGAGAAAAAGATGAAAAATATAACTTATATTTTTCTATCGGTATACTTCAAGAGATACACAGAAAACAAATTTCTTACGTCAATTATTAATTAATTTAGAGAAATTAAAACGAAAGCTCTAGTCCATCATTTCACTAAACTCGTGAGACTGGCTGACAAGTAGATATAAAGGCTGAAGCGCTACGCACGAGGGTTGGTCACGTGGGTTTCGCCATACAGATTCTTATTTCGTCATCATCATCAGACTGTCAGATCAACGACATCCGCGAAATATCATACCGTATTGCGAATATTTCGCGTGTTAGAAAAAAATTTTACTTTATATAAGAGTGTCGAGAAAAAAACATGGTTCGATATTTTCTACAATGGACATAATTTTGCGGCATGCACTCTGTCGAGCGTTACTGCTATCGAATCGAACGTTTACTACTTGTTTCTGCTCGATCGAAAGAAATCACGGACGAACATGGAGGTCAGAGAAATCAACAGAAATCGCTGAATCACACATACTTAAACGAATTTACGAAATCGAATCTATACGATTCTTCGCTCCGAATACTTGTAGTAGTCGTTTATCGCATCGATAATCTTTCATTAATAAGCTTTTTAGAAACGTCAGCCCTTTTAACAAAGCTAGTCTGTGAAGAAAATCGCTACCAGGTGTGCTCCAAGATGAAATCAAGGAAACCATGCTACAAACTTATCTCTCTTTTTCCCTCCCTTTCTTGTGCATACGCATGCATATACATATACGTGCGCACTTTCTCTTTCTCCCTCTATCTTTATTACTCACCTGTGCTGTTGCTGGAACTTCCAGAGCTTCGTGTAGACGTCAAAGGTCCGCCCGAAGTAACCCTGCCACTGCTTGTGTCCGTATTGCGGCAGGTCGCGCAGCCCGTTGAACAGCTGCTTGCTCTTCTCGAGCAGGTGGCAGAACTCGAGGACGACTTTACGCTCGTGGTCGTCCATGCCAGCCATCATGACCATCTTTTCGGCGAGTCGGGACCGCGGCCGGACGCTGGCTGGACGCCCTTCTCAACGACACGGTCGCGGCGGGCCCGCGTGATGGCGCCTGGCGATTCCGCCACCCTTTTGCACGGCGCCCACGACGACGGCGACGACCACGGAGACGGACCAATCAATACTCTTTCCCACCCCGCATCAGGGGGCGCAGCGTGCGATCCGCCACCACTGCCATCGTGACGTTTAGCATCGACAGGGGTGGAAGCGGCGCCGATTACAGCCGCAATGACGACATCCGGGGACATCTGTCCCGATACCGGCGAGGCTTCGAAGTACTTCCGCGAATCGATATTTTCATTCTTCAGGATAAAACTGATTCAAAGCGACGACGAATGCTTCCTTTGAAATCATCGCATCTAGTGGCATACTGCAATTATTCCATATTATATCAATATAGAGAAATATTTAAATATTCATTTTCTATATAATAAACTTAAAATGTCATTTCTTGTCTTAGAAAACGATACATGATAAATCTTTTATTCATTTCGAATTATAATCTTCTTCTGTTTATTATACTTTGTGCTTTTAATTACAATATATTTACTTATTGTAAAATAATCCATTAGATATATTTTTCATGTCAATTTTAATATATTTTTATAGTGTTTTTATCATCAATTGAAACACGCAGTGGAAGATTCATTGTTCAAATCAGACGATCAGTGATATTCCATTGCATGTATTTAATTAATTTTTGATGAGAAACTATTTATATATTTTATTCATGTATTTATTCATCATTATACATGTCCATAATAGTTTGCTATAAGTTCAAAATATATGTTACTCAAACATATGTTGCGAAATTCATAGATGTCTGTTAATTATCTGTGAACGCTTTATGTAGACAAAATTTTTGTAAATTTCTAACTATCCAATCGATGGATCAAACATTATTAAAATCAATAAATTTCTATCTTATGATAAGAAATACCGTGGATAAGTGCTTGGGGTTGGTCTCACCCAGTCAGTCCGATTTTACCCTTATTCAGTCACAGCTTTACAACATATTTTTGGTACGATTATATTTATACAGAACAACATGCATAACCAACAGAAGAAATATGATTTAAAATACGAATGTTACAAAAATATCTAAAGTTAAAGAATATGAAAATTATAAATGTGAAAATTACAAATGTAATAACTTTTTTAATATGTATTTTTATAAAGATTCATAAAGCATTATTAATAATTATTGCGTGAATATATATATATATATAATTTTTGTTCCGAATACAAAATATCTTAGATTTATAATATTAATTTAAAATCGCAGACACTTTGATAAATTTACAAGTAATTTTTTTGATAAAAATTTAAAATAAAAATGAAAATTTAATGCAAAGCTAATATAAAGTTTTATCTTACTTTTATACATCTTTTCTTGGAATAGTAATATTACATAAATGTAAAATATTATCTCTTTTATGTCGAAATTAATTATACAATTTAAAAATCTCGAAATTAATTATACAATTTAGAAATATACAAAAATAGATATTTGTATGTTTAATTCAATCATTCCTTCAACTATTCAATTTCCTTATTATTATTATTTACGAATCCATCTTAACACCTCCACCATGATTGAACTTATCAAAATCCCAGGGTCACAACCTATTTTATCAAAATCTGTGCAGACATCTTCTATATAAATGCAAATTTCTGAACTCTTCCGAATATCTTGCTAACTTTCTACTTGTCGAGACTCTAACGAGGCCTGTCGGTTTTTCTTTCATCATAATTAAAATTTCCAGGCGAAAAGAGGGTAACGTCACGCCGGCGAATGGAGACCAGGGGGTGGTTGCGGCCGCTCGACACTTTCGTCGCCGCGGCTCGTTACGGCAGCAGCGACGGTGGGAGTTTTACCGCCCCGCTAGTCGACTACCGCCGTCTCGGCGGAGATTAATTAACTAGATAACGGTCGGTGGCTGGGAAAGAGGGCGAGGAGAATGGATAAAAAAAATGAGAGAAGGAGAAAAAGAGACAGAGCCACAGAGAGAAAGAGAGAGAGAGAGAGTCAAATAGAGCGAGAGAATGACGAACGAGAGAAACGTGTCAGACGCGATGCAACCATGGGCCAACCATGGGGGTCCCCACTGACGGACTACGGGGGTGGCGGTGGCGATCAGGGAGTCGTTTCCAGAGGCCGGACGGTATAGAGTCCGGAGTATATCGACTGTGTCGCCTCATCTACAAGTCAATCAGGCTCGCGTGCCGGCGGCTCGTGAGGCCGGCTGGTACACGTAAGTAAGTAGCCAGGCCCCTGATGGGCACCTACACGCATCCCCCCGTCTCCCCCCTTCTTCCCTACATGGTACCCGCACCTAATACGAGGCGCTACCGTCGTCGACAACGGGCACCTTCGGCCGCCGGGTATGCAAGTATAATGCGCTATGGCGCATATATATAAATGCTTATGGTAATTCGCGCGCGGTCGGCTTGTTTCGATGCTGGCCGGAAGTCTGCTAGATAGAACCAGCTCCGTATCGCCTATTCCTATCGGTACGTATGCCACTGCCATAACGGCGCTGTAGCACAATGACGTTTACTTGCAACTGTATCGTGAATAAATTGCTACATTTTTCTGAAAATAAATTTTTAGAAATATTATGAATGCATTACAACAGTTTTTTAACATTATGCATTTTTCTTACGTATTTTTTTTAGTTATACTTAAGAAATATTTAATCGGATTAAGCTATATTTTGATAATTGTAGCATTTGTGTGCATGTAATAAATCTTCAATTTTGTATTATTAAATAAATTATAAATTTTATTTCGATCCTCAATCAAAATCTTTCATAGAAATAAGGAGTGTTTACAAAATTTTGTCTTTTCTCTTCTCTTTGTATATATTTTTATATCCATGATCGTAAAACAAAAAATCTAAATTACGTCTAAAACACAAAGATATTAGTACGAGAAAATTAAAAATGCAAACTTTTTTGTATGGCGTATATGTGTGCCTTTTTCCAATCATTTTCTTCGATGCCTAATATTTGATGTTGAAAGGTATCCCTTTGATTTTGAGACGAGTCAGTCGTTAATCATTCAAAGACCGCGGTAAGGATAAGATTACCTAATCACGGCTTTTCAAGGATTCGTAAAATTATCAATCCAGGTGAAGCCGCGTATCTCGGGTGAGTCAGCTCGCGATCGATGGGCCCGAATCACGGTCGAATCTACGATCTGCACGTCGACATGATTCGAGTCATGACTCGGCTCAAACGACCATCAGTGGCAGCCGGCTGTACAGCTTGTCTGGGTATAGACGAGTGATCATATCGGGTCGTTAACTGATATTAATAGCAAGGGCGCGGTAAGCCGGGTGGAGACTGCTGGTTCTCCTTTCTTTCTCCTTCTTTATCCCCTCATCTCTCGCACCTCGCATCCAGCGCGCCCGAGCGGCGGCCCTTGCCCTAATTGCAACAAATTAAATCAAACGATATCGGTGTATCCCTCTGCGGATCGAATTCACATGTGTTACGTACGAAGAGTGCCGTGATTGTGCGCGCCTTTTCACCGCCTCGTCTTTTCCGTCTCCTACGTATTGCTTCTAATTGGATAACTTTTATATCGAAGATGCAAATAACTATTTTAACTTCGAATTAAAGATTCGTGAGAGGAAGCAACTAGCATAACTCACGCATTTTAAATAAAATTAAAATTTTTATTTAAACTTATTTATTTAAATTTATCATATTATTTACTTTTTATCCATTCTTTGTCAAAATTGTAAAAATTGAAAACAACCTATAATCAATTTACAATAGTTTATTAAAAGAAAGAAATAGACAAAAACCATTTTTAGACAATTTTTTCATTCTAACATTATTTTTATAAAAGACTGATTAAGAGATTCGAATTAAAATTTATTATTATAGAAATAATAGAAATTAAAAATCCACTATATACCTAAAAATACGACAATTATCAAACTATAATCCTTAATTTAATCAAATAATTGTTAAGTATGCATAGAGAAAATGTCTTAATAAACTCTATATATTATATCTCTTCAAGAAAAGAAATACATAATATTATAAAAACCTGTTGTAATATATTTCCGTAGTATTTCTAGCAATTTATTTGCAGAAATACGTGAAAAGAAGATTAATGCGTGTTACTATTTTATATGCTAGTATCTGGTACGGTTCATCCCGGTGAAATATCGTGACCGAATTCACGAACACGAGACGAAAGAGATTTTTAAGCATGCGAATAAATTCGCATTCTTTTTAATGTGTTGCTTTAACCTGTTGAATGCGTCGCTGTTCGTGACAAACAGTGATTACATTTGCTCTCCCGAGTCAGATTCATTTTTTTCATTTTATCATTTCGACAATCGCGTTTTGTGCACGATAAGCGTATTAATTCTCTTGCGATCTTCTCAAGTTTGCGAAAGCTCACTGTAAAGAATCATTGCTTTCCGTCTTGTTCTCTATTGTATATATTCAGTGCTTTTTTATAGTACGAAGAACATAAATTATCACTGTAAACACATCAGACATTTCTTACACTTTAGACATTTCTTAACTTAAATTATTTCTAATACGACAAATTAATGATTTTTATTAGTAACTCTAAATTTAATAAATTTTATAAAATAAAGATTTCTATTTTTTTAAAATGAATATTATATATGCAATGTACATTTTATTTCTAATTTATTATCATATTTCCTTTTTCAGAGGTTTTCTCTCTCTCTCTCTTTCTTTCCTCCTTTTATATACATATACATATATTCTAGAAAGATTATATTACATAAAAAATAAAAATTTCGATTTTTGTCTATTATTATTAAAAATGTTTTTGTATCATGTTTTGTATATTTTTTATGTTTATTATAATATAATTTGTTTATGTGTATGTCTTAATTTTAATTTAAAATTCTTCTTTCGTTTATGACAAAAATTTATCAAGTTACCACAATTATTCTTAATATTTATAATGCAAGATATAATATCATGTAACAAAATATATTTTTAGCCGGTATAATATCACACTGAAAAAAAATTCTGGGTAAACCTGTGAGATGCATTTTTTTAAATATTTAGTTTTTATCAATTATAATAATAATAACACAATATTTAGTAATAGTTATAAACATTTAAAAAAAGCATATTTTACGTTTGGTTGAGTTTACTAAATGTTAGGATTAATTAAATTATTTCGTCTTAATCGCCTATACGTTAATTGAAACTATTTCATCACAGCAATGAGTAACATTTATCAAGTTTGAATTATTATAACCAATCTTTTTTTTCAGTGCAATAATTCTTCACGATATGGCTATGTCGTCTCAAAATTGTTCGCTTTAAATTTAATACTACACTTTAAATCACTGCATCTTCTAT